TAAGGACTGAAGTGGTAACTTAATAATTTACTTTTTGTAAAAAAATAAATAAAAAATAAAGAGATTTAGCAAGGGCCAGATCCTAGAGGACCTTGTTAAGTTTAGCTTGAAGGGTTATAAGCTGGAGAGACAAGTTCAGATCTGTACATTATGGAAAATTAATTGACTGAAGAGCGTAATTTGGATTTAGTGAGACCAATTAGGGCAAACATTCAGAGAAAAGATGCAAGACATAATGTCTGCAGTAGGGTAGTAGCAATAGAGGTTCAAAATTCTTAGAGGGTAGAATCTAACTTAGTGATTATTTAACTGAGGATGTGAAGGTAAGGAAGCAGTCTAGAATAACTCAGATTTCTGACTTGAGTGACTGAGTAAAAATGTTAGGGAATGCCAGAGAGATTTATGGGGGAATGAGGAGCTTCCATTTTAGATGCACTGAACTTGAGATGCCTTTGAGTCCTCTAAGTGGTGGTTTCTGGCCACTGGACATACAGGTTTTTATACCTTGAGTGGGGTGGGGGGCATGGGCTGGAGTTAGCCCACTGATAATCAAAGCCTTGGAATGGAGGTGGTCAACCAGGGAAAGCACAGAGAGTGTGAGGTTAAGGGCCGAGGTCTGCACCCAAGAAGCACCAACATGTAAGGGGTGTGCACAAGAGGACACTGAAGACAAATGGCTCGGGTGAGAAGAAAACATAAAATGTACCATGAAAGCCAAGAGGAAAAAGGAAGGAGTGGTTAATAGTGGCAAATGCTCCTTAGAACTCAGAAAGATAAGGAATGATCCATTGGGTTTAGTGGATGAAGGTCATCTGTAAACTTGCAAGGCATTTCTAGTAGGGGAGAAACCAGACTGCAGTGGATTAAGGATGAATGGCCATGAAAAATGTAGACAATGTCATGAGACAACATGGATTATTAACTTCAAAATCTGTATGCTGAGCCAAAGAAGCCAACTTAAAAACAATATATACATATTGACTGCATTTGTATTAAATACTTGAACAGGCCAAATTAATCTACTGTGACAACAAGCAGGTCAGTGGTTGCCTGGGACCAGATGTGGGGAAGGGGAGATGTCTGCAAAGGGGCATAGGGGAACTTTGAGGGGTGGCGAAAATATATAGCTTTACTGGGGTGGTTATTACACAGGTGCATTCATCGTCATTTGTTGAACTGCATATTTATTATATGTAAATTATACCTCAATACAACTTATTTTAAAGTTTAAAAAATACAGAAAGTGAGGACTTCCCTGGTGGTCCAGTGGTTGAGAATCTGCCTGCAAACACAGGGGACACAGATTGGATCCCGGGTCCAGGAAGATTGCTCATACTGTGAGACAACTAAGCCCAAGTGCCACAAGTACTAAAGCCCATGCACCCTAGCACCTGTGCTCTGCAACGAGGAGCCACTGCAGTGAGAAGCACACAGACAACTAAAGTAGCTCCCACTCACCGCAACGAGAGAAGCCCACATGTAGCAACAAAGACCCAGCACAGCCAAAAATAAATAAATAAATTTTAATGTAGAAAATGAAAATTCAATTCACTGAATACATTCATTTCATTGAGTACATTCAATTTGTTTGCAAAGAGGAACAAGTTAGAAGATAGTAGCTGAAAAAATATTTGAGATAAAGCCAATTACAACTGAGCCTTGAATGACAGGTGTTTGAATTGTGCTGGTCCACTTATACCTGGACTTTTTTCACAAGTAAATACTCGAGTACTACCGAATCTATAGTTGGTTGAATCCACAGATGCAGAACCATGGAGGGCCAACTGTAGTTATACTCAGAGTTCTGTGTGGAGGGTCAGTGCCCCTAATCCTCCAAATTGTTCAAGGGTCAATTATAGTTGCTTTTAGATGGAACAGCCTTGAGCATATTTAAATACTAATAAAATTCAGTGAGAGGAAGCACTTAAAAGGATAGCAGGCAAGAGACACTAAAGTGAAGGAATATGATAAAGCATGTACCACATCAAAAATTAGAATAGTGAGCTAACAAATGCCCAAACCTCAGGAGTCCTTATTTTTAGGACATTCCAAGTATAGAAAGTTTATTGCCAATACAATTCATATTCCACAATCAATTCCTTCCATTTTTAATGTTTAGTTAATTGTGGATGGTAAGACCACTGATAAGAGGTACAGATTGGTTATATATGGACAGAAATGGCCTAAGCAAATCATTTAAACCATGGGAAATAATTTCAGAAGACTGGTGGCAATAAGGCTTAGAGAAGTTGTTGTTTAGTTGCTAAGTTCTGTCTGACTTTTGACCCCATGGACTGTAGCTCACCAGGCTCCTCTTGTCCACGGGATTTCCCAGGTGAGAATACTGAACAGGTTGCCACTTCCTGCTCCAGGGCTTAGAGAAGGGTTCATGATAAAAGAATAAGGGTACAGGGGTTTTAAGATGAAAACAAGATTTTCTTTGTCAAGCACTTATGTACTGTGCAAATGATTTACGTAACTATTATTTTCATTTGTTACAACCACCTTGTTGGCATTCTCATTCTGCAGAAGAGGGAACAAGTCCAGGTCAATTAACCTAGTCAAGATCACACACCTTATAAAGGTGGGATTATAAAGGTGGTAAACTATAAAGTTGGGATTAAAACCTATGTCTGTATTTCAGGTTTCCTCGGTGGCTCAGCAGTAAAGAATCTGCCTGCAATGCAGGAGCCAAAGATGTGGGTTTGACCCCTGGGTCAGGAAGATCCCCTGAGGAGAGCATGGCAACCCACTCCAGTATTCTTGCCTGAAGAATCTCGGACAGAGAAGCCTGGCAGGATAGTCTATGGGGTCACAAGGAGTAGGACAAAACTGAAGCGACTGAGCATGTACACTGTATGATTTCAAACCCATAGTAAGTATTTCTTACCCTGCTATGCAGGGCCTGGGGCTGAGTGGTAAAGAATCTGTCTGACAAGCAAGAGATACAAGTTTGATTCCTGGGTTGGGAAGATCCCCTGGAAAAGGATATGGCTACCCACTTTAGTATTCTTGCCTGGGAAACCCCATGGAGAGAAGCCCTATAAAGTTACAGTCCATGGGGTCGAAAAAGAGTTGGACTAAACAACAACCTTGTTAAGCAATTCTGCCTCAAATCTCATTCTTTAAAAATGCTATGGAACTTCCCTGGCAGTTCAGTGGTTAAGACTTGGCATTTTCACTGCTCTGTGTTGGTTCAACCCCTGGTCAGGGAACTAAGATCCCACAAGCCATGAAAAAAAAAAAAAAAAAAAAAAACCAAAACCCAACATTATTATATACAGCCACCTGGGTATATTAATATTTTAACAAAAGCAATCAAAAGATCAGTCTATCTTAATCCTTTTGCTTTCATCTTAGTAAAGTAAAACATCTTCAGATAATAATATACCCAGGTGGCACTAGTGGTAAAGAATCCACCTATCAGGGCAAGGAGATGGAAGAGATGCAGTTTCAATCCCTGGGTAGGGAAGATCCCCTGGAGGAGGAAATGGCAACCCACTCCAGTGTTCTTGCCTGGGGAACCCCATGAACAGAGGAGCCTGGCAGGCTACAGTCCATGGGGTCGCAAAGAGTCGGACATGACTGAGCGACCGAGCACACACACGGGTATGACACAAAGCAGGGGAGACGGGGTATTAAAGGTCTTTACTTTTCTGATCTGTTCAGTTGAATAGATGCTTGGTTTGACCTCTCAATACTGTTATTTTAATGTTCATCTCTTAGAAGAGAAAGATGATGTTTTGAAGTACTTTATGAGTGTTTGTTTAGGTTTTACTCCTAGTGAGTAGAACTGAGCTGTGCATTAAAAACACTGAATGACTCTCTGTGTAAGTCACTGTGGAAGACGCTTTACAAAATACAAAAATGAATTAGGTGTCTTCCTTACTGTAAAGGAGCTGACAGTTCAGGGAAAAAGACATTATATGTCTATGATTATACCAGAAGAAACTGACATATACCACAAAGGGGGCACAGGTAAAGAATTATTGGTAGTTCAGAGAGAATTTTTATATAAGGAATTCAGGATGCTAGAGGCAAAGGAAACATTTAGGAGTCTAATAGTTCAGCCCAATGATTTCCAGTGCTTGAAATAGGACAGAGATAGTGATGCTAACAGTTCTTGCAGAACTGTTTTTCCCTCCAAACTTACTGACAGATGTGGAGAGTGAGAAGAGAAATACAGAATGAAGCTCAAGTTCTTGACTTTTTCAGCCAAGTGCATGGTAGAGTCCTTCACCTTCATAAAGAATTCAAGAAGAAGAGCAATTTGACATGGAGGGTAGAAGGCAGAGGGGAGAGAAGTCAGTGTGCTCATTCCATCACCCTCTCCCTGGTTTTCCTGCAGCCTGTACTTGAGTGGTGGCCGTGTTCTCATACCTAAGGGTCAGGCCTAGGGAGCTACTAGCTCTCCGCTGTTGTAGCCCATCTTGTTCACCTTAATTCAAACCACATCTTTATATTTATATTTATATATATATAAATATATATCCCGTCATTAACTCTCCTCAATAACCCTGTTTGAGCATACCATCTGTTTCCTACTAGGATCTTAACATCATATTTGTGTACTTTTAAATAAAAGGTGTATCTGTATAATTATTTGTTTAAGGACAGGAAACATCTAGAAGGATGAACACCAACTGTCAGCAGTTTTAGGACTGGTAATGGGTTTGGAAGAGGGGAGGGAGAGAGAAGGGAAAAGATGAGAAGGCTTTATTTTATATGTCTATACTATTTGAATTCCTTAACAATAGGCTGTATTACTTTTTTTTTTTTATTAGTTGGAGGCTAACTACTTTACAATATTGTAGTAGTCTTTGTCATACATTGACATGAATCAGCCTGTATTACTTTTTAAATTGAAAAATAACTAAGAGTTTTCAAAGTAAATCAAGAACATCCATCAGCCTAGTGTAAGAACTTCAGTAAATTCACTGAGAGTAAAAATGAAACCTCCCTGAGAAACACTCAGTCAACAAAATTTCAGAGAAAACCCCTAAACTTTAAAAAAAAAATTTAATGATAAATACATATTGACAGAAATTAATAAACTCTTGCATGAAGACAGCATCCAAGGAATTTCTCCATTTTCATGGCTCCCAGCCCTTCCCTCCAGGCTGCTGGGGCAACTTGAGACCCACTAAGCCAGCAGACTCCTCCACTGAGCGCTCACCCTTGCCATGAAATTCCTGATGAAGGGCCACGTGTTCTCGAATGCTGCGTAGCAGGCAGAGATAGGTGGCAGCTTGGAAATGAAGCTCATGCTGGGCTCTGCACAGTTTCTCACTGGTGACCTGGAGAAGTAGCAAGGTCAGATAGTCTATTAACAGCCCAGCTGCAGATACAGGGCCACTGTATTGAGACAGCATTATTAAACAAGCATTCTCTAGAATAAAAGTAAACTGCACATAGGAGATACAAACATATGTTTGTGTATACTTAATACATCTGTAATTTGGCCACCTGTTAACTGAAGAATTTTACGAGGAGTTTCACTGAAGCATTTCACTGAGTGTCCTCAAATTTTAATACTAGGAAAAAAAAGTTACCTCCTTTCAACAGCCTCATTTAACAAATGTGGGATCTAAAGCCCAGAGAGGTTCCATGGTTGGTTAATGCAGAGATGCGGAACTACAGTCAGGTCACTAATCATTAACGTCACCTAAGGAATAAAATACAGAACCTTCTACCCTTCAAACAAATGAAGGACTGCTTTATTTTATGTGACTGTGGACTGGTTAATATGGCACATGCCTTTCAATGAAAATTAAAAACTTATTTTGTCTGAAAAATAGTTTTGTCTTCACCAGTAACAAAATGAAGGTTTTATATAGATGAGAATCATATGTTCATATTACTTAATTATACTCCCTCTCACAATTTACATTTTCATCTAAAAAATTTATATTCTGATGACCTTAATCTAGTCATAATTAACTTTCATATTAAGTACATTAGCACACAGACTTTACTTGATGAGTTTTATGTTCTGAGCCTTCACAGCTGGAAAGGGGCAGGAAAGGTGAGAGGGAGATATATGCATAGCCTCAAATGACTTAAGGAGCCCTGACCAAGTGTGGATTAAGCTCTGTGCACCACTGCCTACATATGCTTTTCTTTGACCTTTCTTTACTGGAATATCTAGGTTTGGAATCTGAAAACTAGTATGTCTGATTTAAGATCTGCAGATCATATATATGAAAATATAAGCTGCTCAAAAACAGAATTCATCTGTTTTAATCAATTTAATTGTTATAATTAAAAATTTATGAGATCAACACTAACATTATGCATCAACAAAGAGTAACATTCATCTCTTAAGTCTAGTTTGATAGAATTTGAAACAGGAATTCTACCTTAGTATAGGACAGCACATAACCAATCTTGATTCAGCTAAGCCTGAATTATGAGAAGTGTCAGTAATATAACTTAATAAATGAACCACCAGAGATCAAGAGATCTAATGAAATAGAAAGCTGTATTTTCCCTACGGAGAAAGGGGAGATCTCCCCCTAACTGAATCCCTTCAGCCTAGAGAAAGGAGAGACAATGGGCAAAGATGATTACTGAGTTAGCTCTGAGCCAGCAGGAAATAGAAACCATACCCAATTCCTCTCATGCATTCCAGAGTTGTTTCTAGAATCTTTAGCATGAAGTTCAGATTTATTCCCAAGGGTTTTCACAGCCATTTCCAAGCCTCTCTCAAGGGCAAATAATGTTGCCTCCATGTGGCATAAACTATAATCTTGTCACCTTAAGAATCTTAAGACTGACTTCCTGTTACAATAAATTTCAATTCCGGCCGACCTCACCTTCCTCCACTTCATCCACCACACCCTAAGCCTTAGCTGCTCTCAACTCAGTTCCTCTCCCCTCCTGGCTTTCAGTCGTGCCGCTGCTTGGACTTTTACTAACCCTCATTTACTTGCTAACTCTAAAGTATTCTTCAAGTTCCTGGGTAATGAATTCCAACCTGTAAAGCCTACCTCTTCTATATACCAGGACTCCAGGCATCTCTACTCCTTTAGTGCTTGTTTATTCTAAGTCCTTGGTCAAATGGCTCCTCAGGTGGAACGCAAGCTTCTTACAAAAGACCCATGTGGATCTTACTCGTCACTTTTAGTCAAGTTCCTATTAGTGTCTAATATTGTGACCTTTCAAAACTCAGTTGAACTTTAATCCTGACATTTTGCATTCTAACTTCCATGGCTCAGAAAATCAAGAGTTTAAGATAATGGTTCTCCCCTTTCCACACTGCTCAGAGGACGCCAGGCTTCCTTCGCTAAAGCCCAAGCTAATTATTCAACTTACTTCTGAGATAGGTTGCGACTTCTTTCCAAGCCAGATCAGTAATTCTCAATCTAGTTGGGCTTGTATAGGTCAACTGTCCCATTTGAAAAAAAACTTTCCTCCTATCTTGCCTATCCGGGGTAAATAGAGTGCTGGAGTGCATAATTCACAAAGGAATTGTCCAAGGATGGTGGACGTTCATATTTATCTGCTACAGATGGAAAAATTGTTACTTGGTCATATATCACACTAGTGTTGTAACTCACAGTACCACCTCATTAGAGGTGTCTAGTTCAGCTCTACAACGTGCGTGCTTAGTCCTGTCCCACTCTTTGGGACCCGTAAGAGTGAGCTCCCATTTCCTCCTCCAGGGGCTCTTCCCCACCCAGGAGTTGAACCCGCGTCTCTTCAATTAGCAGGCGGATTCTTTACCACTAGCCAGCTAAAAGTGGCGGCGTAGTCATGCTCTTCAAGTAGCTCCCAATATCCCTCTCCGCATCAAGAACTCAGAATAGCTCTCCTAGGGAAGGCGCGAGTGGGATAGATGCTGTGACTAGTAACCCTACACTCAACATCTTTCTGCTTGTCCCTGTTTCTTCCATTTCACTTTCCTCTAACTTTCCCATCCACACAGGCCAAAGACAGCCAGTGGAATTTCCAGGGACGGCTCCACCCCAGGACGACTTTGCTCTCTCACGCCAGTCCTTGCTTAGTCCCTGGCCTTAGGTCTTAGACCAGGGCCTAGGGCCTGGGTCTGTCTGGAGGAAGCCTGGGCCCCAGAATTGCGGGTTAAGGCCAGGCGCGCTCCATCTCGCCCAGACCCGACTCTCCCTCCCTCCCCAGAAAGGGGAAGCTGGAGCACCCGGACACGGGCTTCCGTACCCGATGTGCACGGAAAGCTTTGACGAGGTACCGATAGGCTGCGGTGTCGCGATAGGGTCGGCCTGTGGCCGCGTTCAAGTAGCGCAACTCCCGTAGAAGGTTTCGCCAAGTGCGCAGCGGTGACCCTAAGGCCGCCATCTTCCCGTCGTCGGAGTCGGCTGCGGGACGGCACCCTACGACCCTCCTACTCCCTCGACCCCCCTTGCCCGCCGCTTAATGGTACGGTCGGGACCAGACTGCAGGACAGTGGGATGTCTCACTTCCCTTCTCTGCCGAGCAGTATTAATCGAACGCCGAGCGGCTTCCTAAGGTGTTAAGAGAAAAGCAAACGAAAGCCGAGTGTAACTGAATGGCCTGGGAAAAGCCTGGCGGAGAGAAAGAAGGTCCTTGTTCGTTTCCTGAGTGCGTCACATCAGACGCCATTCGCTGACGGAGCACCGCTGAAACTGGAGAAAATGAGGGCATATCGCAAGTGGGTGTCAATTTAAAATAGAAAACCTTGAGATTTTATTTATTTCTAAAGGGAATATAAAAATTCAACCTATCGGCTTCCCCAAAATCTTAACGAGATTACGACTCACAAGGAAATGGGAATCTATTGATTCTCGCAAACTGTAGCCCCAAACTTAGAACAACCACGCATACACCTCCCATCTTTAAAAAGTAAAATCAAGTTAGCATAATTCGCTATAGTGTTTAAGAAGGGGAAAAGGCAAAAATTTTATTGAAAAGTTGATTTTAAAGGGAGGAAAAAAAGACGTGCCACCCCAGATGGGACTCGAACCCACAATCCCTGGCTTAGGAGGCCAATGCCTTATCCATTAGGCCACTGGGGCTTCTGCGAATAACGCGCTCAAACAACGCTTTCAATTTTTTTCCTTCCTGGTACGTCATGTCAGAGTTTCCTTCTATCCTAGGAACCCACACTTAGTACCAATAACGGGGGACGAGGCATGCTGGGAGTTGTAGTTCAAGAAACAAAATCCCGCGTTACAGCTACAAAGGTTTTACCCTCGAAAACAGCACCGAAGCGCCGGACGGTGAACGGGCACGCGCACGGTTTTGTGTACACGTTACCTACGCGGTACCCCCGCGCCTGCGCAGAAGCGCACAAACGACGTCGCGGAGCCGAACCCTCTAGGGAAGCTGGCTGACTCTTCGAGATTCACCTCTAGAGTTTGTGTCGCGTTGGGTGTTCTCCGGAAACAGCCGGCCCCTTCCGGCGTTGCGGCTTTCCGGACTTAGCTTGCCCTCCATCCTGCCATTAGGTGGCGTTTGTGGTGGTCATTTTCTGTTTCCGGTTTAAACTCTGAGGCCATTTCCGCAGAGTAAGGGGCCGGTTAGACACGTTTATCTTGCGTTCTCAGTTGGCAGCTCAGTGGGACACATGGGACAGCAGGGAATTGGAATTAGTTAATTAATTAAGAATTAGTTAATTGGAAACAACTAGTTTTATTTTGGTTCTTTATCTAGTTGCATAAATTGGACAATTCATTTCTGAGGCTCAGCGACATTCAGTTCAGTTCAGTCGCTCAGTCATGTCTGACTCTGTGACCTCATGAATCGCAGCACGCCAGGCCTCCCTGTCCATCACCAACTCCCGGAGTTGACTGAAACTTATGTCCATCGACTCGGTGATGCCATCCAGCCATCTCATCCTCTGTCGTCCCCTTCTCCCCCTGCCCCCAATCCCTCCCAGCGTCAGGCTCTTTTCCAATGAGTCAACTCTTCGCATGAGGTGGCCAAAGTATTGGAGTTTCAGCTTCAGCATCAGTCCTTCCAGTGAACACCCAGGACTGATCTCCTTTAGGATGGACTGGTTGGATCTCCTTGCAGTCCAAGGGACTCTCAAGAGTCTTCTCCAACACCACAGTTCAAAAGCATCAATTCTTCAGCGCTCAGCTTTCTTCACAGTCCAACTCTCACATCCATACATGACCACTGGAAAAACCATAGCCTTGACTAGATGGACCTTTGTTGGCAAAGTAATGTCTCTGCTTTTTAATATGCTGTCTAGGTTGGTCATAACTTTGCTTCCAAGGAGTAAGCGTCTTTTAATTCCATGGCTGCAGTCACCATTTGCAGTGATTTTGGAGCCCCCCAAAAATAAAGTCAGCCACTGTTTCCCCATCTATTTGCCTGAAATATGGGACTGGATGCCATGATCTTAGTTTCTGAATGTTGAGCATTAAGCCAACTTTTTCATTCCCTTCTTTCACTTTCATCAAGAGGCTCTTTAGTTCTTCACTTTCTGCCATAAGGGTGGTGTCATCTGAATATATGAGGTTACTAATACTTCTCCCAGCAATCTCGATTCCAGCTTGTGGTTGATCTAGCCCAGTGTTTCTCATGATGTACTCTGCATATAAGTTAAATAAGCATGGTGACAATATACAGCCTTGACATACTCCTTTTCCTATTTGGAACCAGTCTGTTGTTCCATGTCCAGTTCTAACTGTTGCTTCCTGACCTGCATATAGATTTCTCAAGAGGCAGGTCAGGTAGTCTGGTATTCCCATCTCTTTTGGATATTCTCCCCTTAATTGAAATTTGTTTATCCAGCTTTCAAAGATGCTGCAAATTTTGCCAGCTCTGAGAAAGCAGGAGAATAATTGGAAGTAGGTTTTCAATAACTGTTGGTATGTTATGGTAAGGGGCAATAAGACAGTTCTGAGTTCCTTTTTACTGAACTGCTAAGGGACTCTTTTCTTCCATTTTTAGACTAAAGCAGAGTAAATAGATAATCATAAAATGTTAGTTCCATGTAACCACTGGTCACCAAAGACGGCCTCCTAACAAGTTTCCCCTTTCATACATACGTTGTTTTTTACGATAAGAGGTGAAGCATTTTACCCATCCTTCCCACCATTCCTGCTCTTAAATCTGAGCAGGCTTTGTGACCAGCTTTAACTAATAAGTAGAATGTTCTGGGACTTCTATGGTACTCCAGGCTTTAAAACTGTTAGCTTTCACAGTGTGTGTCTTATCTAGCTACCATGGTATGAAAACCACAGGGCTCATAGAAGAACCCTGAGACAGGCCCACCTGAGCTCTTGACTGATGGCACTAATTACCAACCAGGGGAGTGGGCCATCTTGAATGTTCCAATCCAGTAGCACCCACAACGTATGATAGTCTTAACTCGTGTCACATGTAGCAGAGAATTGCCCAGCTGAATCTAGTCAATCCAAAGAAACGTTAAAACAACATGACTGTTGTTTGGGAATAAATTCCACTAAATTTTAGAGCAACTGTGTCAACAGAAAACCAAATCAGCCAATGCAATGCCTCTTTAATTAAAAGTGTTAACAGTCAGTTAAAACCAGTACTGTCTGTCGAATTTGACCTTATATAATCTAAGGTTGCAAGGGTACACCCTGTGTCCAAGGGCATTCCACAGGCAGTGTCTCATGGGACCCTGTGAGGTAGTACTCTGATTTTACCTACTGAGAAATGTGGGAACAAGCTCAAGGCAGTTTCATGGTTTAGTTTTAGTCAGCTTTACTGACTTAGTGACAAAGCCAGCTTTTGCTCTCAGGCAGTCTTAACTCCAAAGCCTATTTTTTAAACTTAAAAAAAAAATTTATAGCAGAAAAGGGATTTTTTTTATGAAAAAGAGGTGGGGTCATAATCAGAACTTCTGGGTAAGGTTAGAGACCAGGTTTGGAAGCTACACAGCCAAGAACCTCACCTAAAAGCCTGCTCCAGATGTGGTCCAGTGAAAACAGCAGCAGGCCCAGCACTGCACCTTGCAGTGTGGACACAGTGACACTGCACAGGGTCTGGACACTGGCACCAAAGCTGTGGCTCCAGGACACTGGCTGTAGCTGGCTCCTCTGCTCCAACTCGTGCCAGAACGGAGAAAGTCATTACCTAAGAGTCAGAGCTCTGGGCCGAGTACTTCTAATAAACATGGCCTGGGTCATGTTCCCATGCTGGTCAGAGGCGGCTGGGAAAGCAAATACTTTGTCATTCAATGAATTTTTATTAAGCTTCTACTATGAGGCAGGCACTTCTAGATGCTAGGGAAACAAAGGCACAAGTAGTATAGGTTAACCTTTCCTCTACTCGTGAAAGCTTCCATTCTAGAAAGGGGCAGACAGACAATAAGCAAATAAACAAGCATAACATAAAATCTGTCAAATGGTGAGGAGTGCTATGAAAAATAACTAAATAAAGCCAGGGGCAGGGGATTGAGACCTGTTACAGGTTCTGAGTGGTCCTTCTGGATAAGGTAAGGACATTTGAGCAGAGACCCAAATGATGTGCAGAGACTGCATGTTTAATTTGTGTGTATGTGTATATGTGTACCCACACTTTAAGTAGAGACCCTACCCCCATTTCGCACCCATTGTGAGGCCACCAATATTCTGTCCTTCAAGCTTTGTGAGGTACAGGAGGAGTTCTGGGACAAGTTTTCTATGCCCAGAGAAATGGTAGAACAACCTTGGAGGTCTAAATTCTGCAACTACACCAGTGACTGGCTATCTGGCCGTGCACGTGGGAATCCGGGTAATTTTAGTGGGAAAGAAGACAGGACTGATCAAAGAGGGTGATTCTGAGATGAGACATATGTAGGCACTTGCTTCCCTCAGTTGGGATTCTAGAGACATGTGTTACAAGGCAGTGATTTCTAAACTTCTTTGTGTACCCACAGTGGTAAAAATCTTGTGCCTCCCCCATAAGTCTTTGTATTTATTTTAAAATTACATACATGTACTATTGATTCAGTGTAGTGTATATATTTAAAACGTGCACAAAATAGAAATAAAATGTTTTTAAAATGAAAAACCGTATTTTGAAAACATTTTTATTTTATTTATTAACAGTAAAAAAAAAAAAGTCCTGATTTCTCTCAGTAAAGAAAGATGAACATACTTTATTGAAAATGCAGTGTAATACAATATGTTTAATTATTTTGAAAATCTTGGTCTAACACATTTGGGGCAACAAGATCACATAGTGATAAACATTTCTAAACATCCATTTCCAAATTTCTTCATTGCATGAGTTTCTTTTAAAAACGCAGTCACTTACAGCTTTAAAAAATTACTTTTAACTTAAAGAGAACCTTTAAAAATGTTCATTTCTTTCAGAAGATCAGCTAGGCAGTTGTATCCATCAGGGATGAACCAGAAAAAGAGAAACCACTGCAGGCTCTTCAAGCAGAAGGCAGCCGAGTGCAGGGCACTGAGACGCCCGATAGCACTATTAGAGGACCTGCAGGGGCCAGGGGACGTTGCCACTGACATTCAGCAGTTGAGAGTATTGGGGGGCTGCTGCTCTGACACAGGTCGGAAAACACAGGGACCCCCGTGCTGGTCAGAGCTGCTCCCCCGCCCCCAAGCACTCATACAGGAGCTGATGGGAGATTACATGAGCTGCGGAGAACTTTGAAGTCTCCCACAGACCGCCCATTTTGCTAGGCGCTGCTGCTTTTCCCTCCCACCTACAAAATACCCTATGAATACA